TTCGATAACATATACATATAGTTTCAATATATATGTATATGTATATATATACATAGTTTCAATATATATGTATATGTATATATATACATAGTTTCAATACATCCATATATATATATATATATATAACTATACTTATCGATATAACGCATATTGAGAACCGTATCGAAATAGCAATGCAATTAGCGACGGATCTCGTCCTCTATCTATCTATCTTATCCTTTTACTCTCGTGAAGTACTCAGAATCACTTCTCGAAGTGAAGAGAAGGCGAGCACTCGGTGCACTGTTATGGAACGACCACATTATTAGACCTTACCTACTGACGTTATTAATACACTTGCTTGGCTTTCAAACGTTCTCTCTCTCTCTCTCTCTCTCTCTCTCACTCTCTCTCACTCTCTCTCTCTCTCTTTCTCTCTCTTTCTCTCTCTCTCTCTTTCTCTCTCACTCTCTCTCTCTCTTTCTCTCTCACTCTCTCTCATTCTCTTTCTCTCTCTCTCTCTCTCTCTCTCTCTCTCTCTCTCTCTCTCTCTCTCTCTCTCTCTCTACGTCTACGACGATACGATGAGAACAATGAGCATCGTACGATTTCTGTTGCATTCTGTAAGCGCGTCAGTATTGCACAAATCAACATCTTAGGTTTGCAGTTATAGCAAACTGTTTCCTATCTCACAATTATCCTACGTAGATACGTAGATATCGTAATTAGTAGACCCTTTTAGAGATACGAGTTACGACGCGTAACTCTCCCGATAGATACGACGATCGTAGCGATTAGATTAACAATATAAGAAACTTTACATATTAGTCGACCGCGAGAAAACAAGAATAAAGAATACAAAAAGACGATAAAGTTTTTCACTCTCGTTTAAAAAGTAGATCCTGTGAAATTAATTAATTGCGCGACATGATAGTGTCTATGAAAGGGAAGAAATTTTTAACTTTCTGTATATTTTCTTTTTTTTCTTTTCTTTTCTTTTCTCTTTTCCTTCCCCTTTAAATTGAGAAACGATCCCATTTAACGAGAAATATATATATAGAGAAAGATTTGTATCGATTTAAAAAAAAAAAAAAAAGAAGAAAAAAAAAATTAAAAGGAGGAAGAAGACATTCGTATATCGCTTATAGCAAAGAAAAAATATTTGTCGATGAGAAAGAAAGAAAAAAAAAGAAAAAAAAAAAAAAAAAAAAAGAATTAAGAAATAAATAAGAAAAAAAAAATATATGAATTCATATGTCTAATTCGTTAAGGTAAAAAATTCTAACGACTAATTTCCCGATCCTCGGGATGGTGAAGAACTTTCGTTTAGGCCGTACGAAAGTCGAGAATAGAAAAGTTCTTCTTTTCCCCGTACCGTTTTCCAGTATACGGTAGACGCCGGTCGTCGCCATTACTATGCAAATAGATTCGGAGTGACACGACGAGAATGGGCTACACCCTCGTGCACCTAACTGGCGCCCGTCAGAACACCGTTTAATAGTGTAGTTTCGCCTGCACATGCCGCTGCACTCCAACTCTCACTCGCTTAAACCCTCCTAGTAGCAGCCACGAGTCTCACCAATAGGGGTAATGAAATTGTCCATGCGCGGAGTCGGAACTCCGTATGCGTATACATTCTACATGTATACGTATAAGTCCGAGAGAAAGAGAGAGAGAGAGAGAGAGAGAGAGAGAGAGAGAGAGAGAAAGAGAGTGAGAGAAAGAGACAGAGACAGAGACAAAGGACAGAGAGAATCGTACGAAGGAGGGTGTTACTACCAGGGATGGCCGTCGTTTGTTCTGCGATCGAGAGAATACATTGTGTTGCGTGCCTTTTACGTGCCGAAACAGATTCGCGAGGATTTGCCTGTCGGTGTTTCAGAAACGCGAACATAAGTATACCCACCTATCTTCACTATACATCGAGATATATTTTGTTCTACAGTTAAAACATTTAAAACGATCGAACATTTATAACGTATATTAATCTTTAATGATTTTAAATATATTTCTATTTTAAAAAAGATCGACGCAAATATTGCCTTTTTTTTCTTTTTCTATTTCTTTTTTTTTCTTTCTTTTTCTTTTTTCTTTTCTTTCTTTTTGTTTTTTTTTCTTTTTTCCTTTTTTGTCTTATCGACATTCAAACGAAGAACGAATTCGAATAAAAATTAGTTTCGTAAAAGTAACGAACGATTCTCTACGATCATTCTCTTCTCCTCCCACGAAATTTACTTCATAAAGCGCGGATATTTTTAATTAATAACGCGGAAAAAGGGGTTAATGATCTCCTTTAGAAAGAGAGAGGGTGGGGGAGAAGGAGAGTGGCGAAAGTCTCGCTCGTTAATCGTCACTATATACATATATATATATATATATATATATTAGAAAGAGAGAAAAAAAATAAAAAGAAAAAAAATGGAGGAAACGACAGCGCACTGTGTTACGTTGTAAAAAAAAAAAAAGAAAAAAAAAAATAAATAAAACAAGAAAGAAAGGGGAGGTCTGAATATTTTTGTAAAAAATTTATCGTCTAATCTAACGCGCACCAAGCGCCCACCTTATATTTAACTTCGCAACCCTTATATATTCGAAGTTAAAGCACCGTGGGATCTATACTCATTTTCTAAGGTCTCTGCGACGAGACAAACTCTATCTTTCGCCCCGATAAGATATCGCGACACGAAGATCGCTATCGTCCTCGTTTATTCTCATTAGTCCTTCATTATATACTTAAACTTAGCCAGTTACGGATGCACAAGAATACATACACACATACACACATATAATATTTATTCGTTATTTTACATTTATCGTGGACGATAATACGATAAAACTTTGAATAAACAAACGGATCTCACTAATCTTTATATTTTCTCTTCTATTTTTGTGTTTTATTTGTATTATCTTCCCCTCCACCAAAAAATAAGGCGAACTATGATCTCGAGGATCAATACAATGGTTTCACGCGAAATCGTCTTTAACAATTATCGCTGATTATTTTATATCTTTCTCTTTCTCTCTCTCTCTCTTTCTTTCGTTTTTTCTTTTACTGGCGTTATCTCTGACTCACTAAACACGATAAATTAATTTTACATGCGCATAATTCTAAGAGATTTCCGAAGGATCATCGATCTTTCGTAGCACGATTTGAGAAAATTATTCGAAACTGTTCAAACATAAGACGCCAAGCTTCTTAATGCTCAATCGTCGATTAGGAAGCGCACAGCTTGGTCGCATTAAATTACGATTAACAACGTCCAGCAAAGATATCGATAGGATCATAAAGGGGGAAAAGGGGAACAAAAAAGAGGAGAAATAAGGAAAAAGAAAAAGAAAAGACATTAAGAGACAGAGAGAGAGAGAGAGAGAGGGAGAAAGAGAGAGAGAGGGAGGGAGAGAGGGAGGTAGAGAAAAGAAAAAAGAGAAAAAAGAAAAAGAGAGAAGGAATAACTCAACACATCAGCTGTTGTGCGAGAAGCTCGCGTTCTCCTTTAGAACTTTTCCTTCATATTCGCTTGTTACCGATCAATTTACGTCTGGCGAAAGGAAAAACGTGAGTGGAACGAACGGTCTCAAAGGAACTGACGCTTCGTAATTGGGAATTTTCTTCTTCGGCAAAAGCCATCCTGAAAAGTCCAAAGAAGAATCTTCGAATATCAAAGGAAAATCCGAAGTATTCCATTCGCGACTCCTACTTCGCGAAAGATTCGGGAGACGACGTATGTACTTATGAGAATGAGGGATTCTTCTTCCCCGACACGAAGAAACGAGAAGGATATTACGAGAGAAATCAATTTTCGCTGACTTGTTTCGCGAACAAGGTCTCGCGATATGTGTGTGTGTGTGTGTGTGTGTGTGTGTATGTATGCTACGAACTATAGTATATGACGTAATATCTCATGTCTTCTCGATACTCCTGATTTTTCTGCCTTATAAATAAAATTATAATATACACACACACACATACACACTATGTATTTTTTACGTATCATAAAACTACAAGACCAGGAACTTTCTTACGAACTAGACGAAAAGATTAACCCGAAAAGTTGGGAAAAAGTATAATTGAAAATTTTTTTAAATCATCTAGAAAATTTTCATAATTCGCCTAGAAACTTTTGCCCTATTTTCTGTATTAAAAAAAAATAAAATAAAAAGATATATATATATATATTATGATAATAACATTCGATTAATGCAAGAAGTAGAATTATATCCATAAAGAATTTTTAACCAAACAAAAAGAGACAAACGGAAAATAAAAAATAATAGGTGTATTGAAACGAGAATGAACACCTGTATATATATGTTGGTACTTTTGAAAATAACTTTCGCGAACGGAATTAAGAGAAATAGAGATAAATAGAGAGCAACAGAGAGAGAAAGAGAGAGAGCGAGAGCGAAAGCGAGAGAGAGAGAGAGAGAGAGAGAAAGAGAGAGAGAGAGAGAGAGAGAGAGAGAGAGAGAGAGAGAAGGAGAGAGAGAGACACAGAGGATCGTCAAGCTCTTCGGAAAAAGCATTTTTCTATGCACGGTTGACAGGCTGCTTAGTATTCCCGTCTGTATGCACGGAGTCAAGACAATTAATTATGTCCCCTTAATTATCTTACGGGGACTAATTTTCTATCCGCTGTTTACGATTAATCATGCGCCTTGTCGTGCGGCAAATACCGTATGGATGGACCACGAAAGCCCGAATGTATATTCGTTTCTGTGCAAAACGACGACACCACACGGCTGAAACGCGTCCCGCTACTCTTTCTAATAACATTAATCACCCCTCTTTCCCTCCCACCCTCCCTCCCTTCCTCCCTCTCTCTCTCTCTCTCTCTCTCTCTCTCTCTCTCTCTCTCTCTCTCTCTCTTTCTCTTTCTCTTTCTACGTGTCTTTGAATTTCAAAAACTCCTTCCTCAAGATTAAAATTACGATAAAAGAAGGAAAAAAAAAACAAAATTATGGACGATCGTTCTTTTTTTTCGTTTTCTTATCCTTCCTAATTTTCTTTTTTTTTTTTTTTTTTTTTTTTTTAAATAGTAACACCAATTATTATCAAGAACCTAACGACCGTAGTCGTAGGTGATTATCTATTTACTTAAATGCGTGCGTGTTTAACGAAATTCATTCGTTTTAATTAAATTTCACATCAGTGGATCAATATTTTATCGTGAAAGATAAAAAAAAAAAAAAAAAAAAAAAAAGAAAAAGAAAAGGAAAAGAAAAAGAAAAAAGAAAAGGGAGAAAAAAACGAGAAAGAGAAAGAGAAAGAGAGAAGAAGAGAGAGATATACTGGTTAGCTCAAAATCGAACGTTCTTACACTCTGTCGCAAGAACACTAGTTCTAACTTACCTAAATAATAAAAAGGGGAGAGAGAGAGAGAGAGAGAGAAAGAGAGAGAGAGAAAGAGAGAAAAGAAAAGCATTGACCGATCGTATATAGACGAAACGCGAAAGGACGATTCGTGGAAAATGAAGTCTCTTTCGTCCGTCGGTGCCGGAGCCAGACTTCTGTTCGCCTTGGCGCCAGTCTGACGCTCCTTCGCTTTTAACACCCCACCTCTTTCAGCTTTCCCTCTTTACCTCCTCTTCTACAGCCTCCTAGATACCACCGAGATACCCGAGACGAGCGTGACACCCTGATTAAAACGCCAACTCTGAGGGGTATCGAGCTCCTAGGGTTCGCACTTTCCTTTTTTGTTCTCCACCTCCGCATCCCTCTCTCTCTCTCTCTCTCTCTCTCTCTCTCTCGCACACCTTCGCAATACTCTGTACGCGCCAAGTCCGGCTGAGGAAAGTAAATATGAGAAAGCGGACGAAGGACGGACGAACTAATTACACTTTTCCGAGGCGACCTTCCTCTTCTCTTTCTACAGCTTCACTATACTTCTACTCTAATACTTCCTTCTCTCGCTTCGACGATGAGAAACATATTTTGAAGTACCTAACAGAGGAGGGGTAGCTAGATATTCACGATTACTTTCTCGTATTCCCTCTACATTTTTAAAGCAACTTTTTCGTTACGATCCTAATCGATTTTTGCGCACCTTTTATACTATATCAAGCATACTATAAGAAGAAATTGTCCGAATATCATATACCACGATAATATACCCAGAGTAAATGACAGAGACAGAATGAAAGAGAGATAGTGGTGATAGAAGAGGGTGGTGATGGCGGGGGCGGGAGCGGGCGAGTCGAGCTCTCTTGGCAAGAAGGGATAATTCGAGAACATCGGCCCCGCCTGATGCGAAACACCGACGTGATGTGTTCCACGGATCGCGTTATACGGGTATAGCTGATGTTTGCACTGTAATTTTCCACCACCTAACTCGGTACCCCGCCGCTCGGCAAGCGTGCATTGCCGCCTGTGCGATCTCCCTTCTTCACCCTACCACCCACTCCCCTTACCTCCCCCCGCCACACACCACGTTCTCCTCCTTGTCCTACGGTCATAATGCTGAAATAACACCCCTGGCCTGCCAACACAACCCTCGCTCGCGTTCACGAGACTCTGTCCTACTGTTACCCCACTACACTACACTATACATACATATATATATACATACATACATACATACATACATACATATATATATATATATATATATATATATATATATACTATATATCTCAACTAGCAATACCTACACACACTTGCCTGTAGACACCGCGGCTCGCTTTATTTATATAATTGCTCAATAGCCTCAATTACGGACCTTATTCAATCATAATCATCCCCCGATGTTATTTGCGGACAAGCCCAGCTGATTGTAAGCACTCCGGCGCGCCACTTGTTACGGGCCGTCGACGCGTGACGTCGCCCGTCGCCAATCTCGTCGACGTCGACTTCGTCCTCGTCGTCGTCGTCGTTGTCGTCGTCGTCTTCGTCGTCGTCGACGTCTTCCTCTCCTTCTCGTTACGCATCAACGATCCTCATCTTTCTCTTTCTCTCTCTCTCTCTCTCTCTCTCTCTCTTTTTCTCATTCCACGAAACGATTTTCGCTTTTAAGAAATACAACAAAGATATCCTTCCCGAGAACACCTTTTTAACTCGTTTATTTTCAAACGATTTAATGAAACTCGGAATTATACGAATATAAGCCTTATTTTCAAACAATTAAACGAAAATATTCGAGAATACAAGAATAAAGAAAAAAAAAAAAAAAAAAAGACCTAGAAATTTGCTTCATTAAATAAA